CCAAATCTCCCGATTTCTTGGACAAATAAAAGTTAAAACAAACACTGTAAAAGAATATAAACCATATTGCCGGAGCCGACGGTGCAGAAGCCGTTAACAACGTCAACGATGACAAGACCGACGCTTGAGTCTCGATTCAAAACCAGAGATTCCTCCTCATCCACCGGAATATTCTCCTTCACCTGATCGAGTATCGTTTTATCAGTCACCATACCGGTACGACTCTTGAAGAAATTGAAAAAAAACGCAGAACGATAGGAGGAGGAGGGGAAATTGAGAAGAAAGTCGAAAGATTTCAGGAAAAATTTGATTAGAGACGAAAATCTCAAGCAAGTTGGTTTCGGACAATTTTCATGTTTTCGAGTTTGACTTCTCTTCCGTATTTTTGATCTTTTTAATATAAAATATACGATACGTCTAGTTTGCAATTGGGGGTGTAGCTCATATGGTAGAGCGCTCGCTTCGCATGCGAGAGGCACGGGGTTCGATTCCCCGCACCTCCACTTTTCTATTCTTCTTTTTCCCCATCTATACATTTTCCCTTTTTGTTCACACGAACCTGATTACGGGACTTACTAAATAAGCCCATAAAAACACTTAAAATTTTTCCCACTAGTTTGGAATTTTTTTTTCAAAAAGATTTTCGTAATAATTTTTGTTTCTATTCTCTGATTGATCATAGCAAAGGCTAAAAACGATATATTTTAGAAAATAACAAAGTTACCCATATTTTTCTAAAACATATAATACATGAAAAAAAACACAAACGGGTACAAGCGTGCCACTTTTCCTTAACCAAAAAGTCCATATTGTCTTGAAAAAAAACAAAGAATCTCTTTCTCTCTGTGAAACGAAGTTGAAACTGGATTTAAAATTTTTTTTTGTCTTTTAAATCGATATCGGATTTCATTGTTTTCAGTTACTGATATGGTTTTTGATTCTCAAAAATCTGACTTTATTTTATTTGTGTTACAAATATGAGTTTTTATTCGATTTGGGTTCTAGATCTGAGTTTTTGATTCGATTTTGATTACAAATTTAATGTTTTTGATTCGAATTGGTTGAATGTATTAATAAATATGGGCTGTATTTGGGGTAAAATTCAATCTGTCAATATGGGTTTGAGTTCAATCTAGGTTAATTTTGTTCTTGGTGTTCTTCTGACTGATCTAGGGTTTTGATTTTTTTTTTATAAACTTTTTAAATAGTTTATAAGAATCTATAAAAAGTTTAGTAAGTGTTTAAAAAGTTTATAAGGTTTTTAAAGAGATTCTTGAGACAATTTAAAATGTTCTCAAATCTACCGATCTAATCTCGAATCTATTTTTTTTGTTGGAAAATTATCTCAAATCCATGTTCTTCAACAACAACTCTTTCTCGAATCATCTGAGAGGAGATCGCGATGGAGATCTGAGACGGCAAAATCAGAGACAGTGAGATCCGATCTCGCGTCGGCGAGATCCGGTTCAGAGAGAGAAAAAAAACCGAGATCTGTTTCAGAAAGAGAAAAAATATATTTGTGCTAAGGTTAATATGAGACTATTAAGAAAAGGAGTGACACGCTTGTAATATTTTGTAAACTGTGATATTTTTGCAAAATGACATGTGAAAAGTGGTATTTTTCAAAATTTGTAACAAATCCCTAATTAAACTGAGCCAATTCTAGATAAAACTGACTCGTGAACTTTACTTATATTTTCTAAAATTATATGTTAAATTAATTTTAAAAAACCCTTTTTACATCGGATGCAAATTTGGTTTGTGTTTTAAAACTTTCTAAAACCTATACAGAGATACGTGGCAAACCATTGTTGGAGACTGTCTTCGTAGGCGTTGTCTCTCATTTCTCTGATCGAAGTAAATCTATTGCGCATTTGTTTATCGACGAAGCGGGTGAGACAAGATGGTGTATTAGG